AAAGCCAAAACGATTGCTGGTTTCTGATTGCTTCGGTTCTGGTGAGTGTGTATCTAGTGTGATTCGAACCCATGTCGTTTGTATTGGGCGTTTTTATGCAACCAGTTCCCCGTTTTATTGTGATTTTGAGTGTTTAATGATGTCTTCCTCACCCGTAACGCCATGACCCAGTTTCAACCACACGGCCATTTTGCAACACAGTTCGTGACCCTCGGCGTCACCCGACTGACTGTATGAGCGTTCTGTTCAACTGTTAAGCTAGGATTTATTACCGTTATTATCATTATATTGTCACGTGATTTGTTTTACCTTATGTGTAATGTCTTAAGTATCTTTATTGTAATTTGTATATACCAATTCGTATATACCGAGGAAACGACCCCGATTGAAGGTCATGTATTTTATGACGTCACCAATTCGTGTGTAGGTACTGCTTCTAGATCTGTGCCTATATTTGTTATTAAGTTGTCATGATTTTGAACGAGAACAAAATGAGTAAAAAACAAAAACTATTCAAAATAGCGACCTCTGTGTCGACAAATTGTGTTGCCTTCGTTCGCCCGCAAGTGCTATTACATGCATAGGGAAGTCTGATTGTCTTAATCGTCAGGTTAACGCCATTCATTTTAAAATTTATCATTTAATAGAAAAACTATTTACAAATGAAATTATATTAGGCGGTGTTTCTGGCATATTGATCTGACTTTTGCTGGTGAATAAAAACATTGATAATGTGTGCCCCTCAAAGAAAAGCTTTGTCTCCTCTATTCCATTTCTTGGGAGGTCCAGTCACGTGACCCTGCCAAGCAACAGCACAGACGTACAGACATTATAAACAAAATTGTGCTCCGTGCATCGTGCATTTACTGTGAATAAGGTATGTTTCTGTTAGTTTTTAAGTTGAGTTTATGAAATCTTCAACTTGCTGTGACTCAAAGGAATATAGCAGTTTGTTTATTTTCTAATTGCTAGTCGGTTATTTTCGAAATAGCAACCATATCATCTGATGATCGTTACCGGGACCCCTCGCCTCACTGACAGAGTGTTCGGTGTCCTCCTCGATCGTCCCTATTTTGCAACTCTGGGATCAGATTGGAATCCGCTCACTAGTTCAAATTCATCACTGAAAAGAGTGTTTAATTTTGCGAACACATGGTAGTTCTATTGAACCAGCTAGTGAGTGTCAAACGTCTAAACATCTATGTTTTAAAAAACGTTGACCCCAAGTATTCCAATTAATTTGCCCAGAGAGTATCCCTCAATTTTTCAGTAATACCGTGAGAATAACACCATGCTCGTAATGGAATGTATTTATAAACTATAAGTATACCACTATGGTGATGAGAGTCGCCAAAAACACTGTTTTGTCTTTTTTTCATTTTACTATGTTTACATGTGCAACCGCAGTCTAACCTCACAACAATCCAATTTTTAGACGTGTGAAGTGTTATCAACATGTTTACTCATGTATTTTTTGTTTGTTTGTTTGTTTGGTACATTCGATATATTGCTATGTAACAAACGACAGATGTAAATCTATGATGACTTGTGTTAAGGAAATTGGATAAATTCTATCTAGGTAGAACCTCCTTACTGTTAGATCTCCTCTAACTACATCTGCCTAACAATCAAGTTGCATTCAGGTAACACACAGGATCAACAACACACAAATCAACAATTTTCTGAATATTAATAGAATTAAAGAACTGAATTGCATTGCGTTTTCAGTAGCAGCGACTATTCATACTGCACCAGTGCATAAAACAGAAATAAATCAACCTTTCACACCGCAGCAATGTAATATTCACATGTACCAAAAACAAACTTGAGTGACGATTGCAAACGAATGCTAACATACCATCTCAGATAGAGAAATTGCAGAACACCACTGCATGTATGTTTATAGGGGCACTTTCAGTTAAGCCTAATCTCACAACAAATTTACTTTCTGGATTAAAATTACAATGGATAACAAAAGATAGTTTAAACATTGTAATCAACATAAGCAATAGTGTCCCATAATTCTTTGGTGCAATCCCTGGGCTTGGAAGGTTCCCCTTTGAAACAAAATGAAATCTATCATGTAATCAGTAAAATTTCTATTAGCACAAGTATGGACCATCTGATCTGATTTAATAACTATTTGGTGTACTTTATTACATGATTAGAATCAACAAATTAAAAAAAAAAATGACAAAAAAATATCACTGTTTCGTTGCCTATTAAATGAGTACAACACCTTATTCGATGTTTATTTTTTGTTAATAATGATACAAATGTATATTGTTTGTTCTTGGCTAAACTGATAGTCATTATTTATGCTTTTTTTAGTAAATCCAACCATACTTGAAAGATGCCCCCAAAGAGAGAAGCAGTTGCTCTCCAGAGGGTTATCAACAACCAGGAGCAATGGGATGAAGCGATGGGAGTTGAGGGGGTCATGTGTAAGTGCTGAATCAAATGTTCAAAATTTGGGGTGGAGTCACAGAACGTTCTAGGTTGCTAGTACGTGCACCACTGTACCATGTGTTTCTGTGAGCTTGGTGCGAGCTGCCATGAGATACAGGTTGAAGAGTCAGTGAAAATCAACAAATGGAGAAAACAGGACTCAACTTTTGAGGCAATTCTGAAGACCAAATTAATATATGTTGCACATGTTTGGGTAGTCTTAGTTGAGGAAAGTCTCAGCACTAGCCCAAAGTGCAGAGAGAGTTTTCAGCCCTTGTTTTCACCTGTGATGGTTGTCAGACGGTGAAAATGCCTTAATGTTCGTTCTCGAGAATTGATATTGCTGTAGAACTGATCTGTGGTTGCTAGGCTATCTGACCATGCACTAGACTGACAGGCTGATATGCTTCTGGTCAGCTGTATTATGCAGTTGTAGACAGATATTTACTATTCATTGTACCAGCTTCAATTTTGTGCTGATCATGATAATTTCATATTGTTGGATGTCTGGCTACAAGTTTTATAGTACCCTAGTTACATGTATTTCGTCACCTGCACATGCGTTCATAGTGTGTCGTTGTTTTCTTCAAACCAACGTCTACCCATGCACCTCTACGTTTTTAGCATGCATTGTTCTCGTCAATAGGGACTTGATTTCCACGTGTGCGCAGGTGACACCCCTCTGCTTTAAACCTTTGAATATTTTCTTCTAACTGCCTGTTTTATTTAAAATTCGCCTGGGATTTGTTTTCATGTCGTTTATGTAAGCATTGCGATGTCAGCATAATGGCAATTCTACCTACCAAGATATGTTTATTATAGTCATTGATTTGTATCGTTGTTTCATTTTGTTTTATTTATCATTGAACAATTAGGCCAGAATTCTCGGTGTTCTTCAAAGGAAATAGCATAGCATTATGGGTAATTTGAAGAATATATTGCATAGCTTAAAATTATGAAGAATATTTATAATTACGCTAGATAGCCCGAATGAATGCCTTCATGCTCTTCAAATTGCATGTATTTTGTTTGAAATTTCTTTTCATGCCCTCAGAACGCCTTAGCTGTAGCTTGTATTCTTTGTTTGATTGATGGTAATTCCACTAATAGACCTTGTTGTCTTACAGTGATAGACATATATCAAAAGTGGTGTGGACCTTGTAAAGCTGTGGTTGGTCTCTTCAAGAGATTGAAAAATGAAATTGGAGATGACTTGTTACACTTTGCTGTGGTAGGTACAACCGTTTCCCAAATGCAAACTTATGTATGAAGCTTATTTTCGCTCATTATTGATGTAAAATATAGGAAAAAAAATATTTTTGCTGGATTTTATTTCCACTGATTCTTCCCTTCAGTGAATATAATTTACAGTAAAAATAAAGTATTTTTACAGTACTCTTGCTACATATGCTCACTGATGATACAACAAAGCTAGCAGGTGCAGCCACCTGCATTCCTTGATGCCTTCCAAAACAGTTAAATATTTTGGACACAATTTTTATCAGTCCAAGGCAAATCTCAGTACGTTTAGCCTTGAAATTGGGTACCTCAGAATTAAAACATTTTTAAGCTGTGCTTCAATTAGCATGTTTATGAATCTTTCTTCTGTTTTAAGGTTGTTAATGTAACAGTGATGGAATTGCAGTTAAAACAAACAATATTTTAACGTGTGCTGCAACTGGAGAGTTGTTAATCTAACACTGTAAAAGGATTAATTAGTCACTGGGTTTTAATTTTGCTTATTTCGCTGACTGGAAAATGCGCTAAATTAAAACCTAGTGAATATGTAAAATTTAGCATGAACACATTAATCTAAATGATAAAACCGTGAATTTAAAGCCCACTGAATATGTCTGAAATGGTAAATCAGCAAAATATAAACTCAGTGAATATTAATCATTTTACAGTTGAAGAAAATACAGTACAGTTTTCTTTAATATATTGTGAATGCAAAGAATGTTAAATTTATTCTGTGTGTCTTTATTGTAAAATATGCAACCCATGTGATCACCTGAATTTTTAGACAAAGCCTCAGTGTTATAGATTTGAACACTGCCAGAAAATAAAGTGGTGGTGAAATGTAGATCCATAAATCTACTAAAGATTTTCTGGAGTGAACAGCTTGTACTTTCAATCTATGTAAAATTTAGGGTTGTGTCCACATTTATCAAGTATTATTCTCTCTTCTAAGGCTGAGGCGGATGGGATAGAATCGCTGGAGAAATATCGTGGTCGCTGTGAGCCATGTTTTCTGTTCTTTTGTGGTGGTCAGCTCACTCATGTCGTACGTGGTTCAAATGCACCAGCTTTGCAACTTTCCATCACAACACAGCTCACAGCTGAGCATAAAGTGCTGGAGGAGGGTGCAGAGAGGAAAGTGGTGAGTATAAATATATTTTACAGTAGCTTACAGAACACTCTTAATGATAATAACATTTAAGATGACAATATAACTATAACTTGGCTGTGGAAATTATTATCATCACTTGATGTGTTTCATCAGATTCGTGATCCATTACTTGCTGCACAAGAAGAGGAAGAGAAAGCTGCGGAAATGGCAGCTGAAGAAGAAAGGAAGAAAATGGAAGATGATGCACTTAGTAAGTATAATCTAGAAAATATTCTTTGAAATCTCTCCCTCTTCTTCCATGCCATGTTGTAAATTACATTCTTTTTCAACTCATTATAAATGTCCACAAAAAATAAATGTTAATTATTAAATTAGTCAACAGAATTGGTCAATTTTTTCAATTGGTCGTACATGTATTACGGTAATGTAAGCTTGATGGTCTAAGATAGAAAATAAATGAAAGTTGATGTCTGTTTGTATATTATTTAGTATTTACATCTGACCAATACTCTTGTATAATCATATCTGACATATACATACTACCGTATAAAACAGTTTTTAAAATTTACAGAAATATTACCCTTTAGCAATTTTTTTTTCAAAATCAACTTTTAATTAGTCAGTCATTATTTTGAATGTTCAGTCTAAAATTTTCATGTCATAGAGTTAATACATTTGTACCATCACGCAATTTGGTTTTCGTCTTTGTACTGTTTGAGTGTGCATAGACTGATACTTATAAACATCACTACTTAGTGATATGCACAAGGGCCATGTAATAATGGTTTACATTATGGTATAGTCTGGTATGGTATACTGAGTACAGGGTTGAACCTTGTGGATAGTCCTATAGTAGTAGTTTAATAGTAGCTCACTTGTCTGAAATTTATAAGCTATTTCTTAATACTGAATCTCGGTATTAAGTGATAATTAATATCTCTTATGTTCTTATAATTAATATAAGATACACAACTTAAGTCAATGAAATACATGTATTTATATTGCTTGGGTTTGAATATTGTTTGCAACATGCTGTGTGAATAATATAACAATGAGTTGATATAATCGTAATATTGTCATTAATGTTTTAGATAGTGAGATAGAAGGCATAAGTAGCAGTATATCTTTGAGAAGAGTAGGTAGGAGAGCAGTACGTCATGCCATTAACAGAATTACAGGCAGCCGTACTAGCTTTACGGGTAGAGTAGACTAAGCCCACAGATACTTTAGTTATGTTATATATAAATAAGCAAAGTCTTGAGTTTGTTTTGTTCTACTGTTAACTATAGATTTACTTTTTAATTCACCGTATTCAGTGACACCATATTCAGTGAAATTCAAATCCAACTCACTAAATAGCAGACTGGCCTAACACACTGAATTGTTAATATTAATTTTTTTTTATGATTATATTCTTAAGAAAAATTGTATTAATAGCAGAAGCACATCTTTATATGTATATGTGTGAAAGCCCCATTGAATTAATGCCAGTTTGCCTATGAAACAATAATTTTATTGCATCTTTTGAATTTAGTCACTGTCATTGGTCACTGATTTTTGTAGGAATCAAAATGAGAATCTTAAGAAGATAAAAATTGTATGTAGCTGTAGGTGCCTTCTGTAAGGCTCATACTAAAATGTTTGGACACCAGATTTTCCACTTACTTTGTTATTTGACCATAGCAAGATGTTTTTTTTTTCAAGATCACTATATCGATGAAACAATTTTTCGTCATTGGCATGCAGGGAATAAGCATAATCACTTGCATCATGAAAATCTCTGTGCCTCAGCCTCATGTCTGCAGTCAATGAATTAAAATATTTGGTGTTACCCAATTTCCAATGGAATGATTTTGAGGACTCACTCATGCCAGTGCTGTTGTACTTATAATTTACAGTAAGTTTCAGCTTGGTAGTAGAAATGTGGATTTAACTGTATTATTTTAATTTCACAGAACCACAGCCTAAGAAAGTCACAGTTGCTGTTATCAAACCTGATGCAGTCAAAAATGGATTGGTTAATGATATTGTTGGAAAGGTATGGTTTATTTATAATAACAATTTCATCGTGCATACATGTACAATGTATATACAAAACAACTAAATTGAAACTGGTCCAGGCCAAACACCATAGAAACTGAACCATTCATAGAGGTACAATACAGTTATACCTCTGTATATTGACCAACCTAGACAGGTGGCTTTTGTATGGACATTGATTTAAGAAAATACAACAAGTGTAACTGAAGATCAAAATAAATAAAAATATGTTTGTTTTTTTAATTAAATGGAGAAACATCAGTATAAAGACGAATGTTAAATACATCTAAACATTTGTCATCATTTTAACTGTTATACAAAGGGTCATTTGATCAGAGCAGTGCGAAATGGGTCATATATTAGATTGCAGTGAAGCAGCTGCTCTGCTAAGTACAGCACCCCGATCCACACCCAAGTTGTCTGCAAGTGATTTGGCATGATATATGAGATTTTTAAAATACAGTTCCCTGTACGTTTGTATTGTACTGCGACTGCGGTGAACTGCCTATGTATAAAAGGTAGTCATTATAAACACCTAACTGACAGGAATAGGAGGGTTACTTTATACAAGTTTAGACACATTTTAGTATATAAAATAATTTCTCATGTTCTTTTAAACTTTTACTGTGTTAATCAATCATGCTTTTGTTTTAGGAAGGAAATCGTGAAGCAGTTAAGCTAGATTTGTGTATCACTACTAATTATTAGATTAAAAAGAGTCAAAATACTTTTGTTTTACATGATTTCTTGTGCTATGTAGTACAATAATAACAATCTAAAAAATTATAACAATGTGCTTCTGTGTTCTTTCTTTACTGATTGGTTCAATGTATTTTTATATAATTCAGATGGAATCGGAAGGTATTGAAATCCTGGCACAGGAAGAAAGAACGCTTACAGAGGATGAAGCCAGGGAATTTTACGCAGCCCATAAAGATGAGGTAAGAGTGAGGTGTGACAGAATCGTGTTTTGTCACCATGTTGTTACATGGGACCCATATAATTGTACTTGACATCATTCTGTCCATAATAATGTTTGGGTGATAGTGACTAAGTTAATTGTAACTGTGTGGAAAATGCAGCTTTACTGTAATCCATTTTATTCAACCATGCAAAATACCGTTAACGCTTTTTCACATTGTGTACTTGGAAAACTGCGGTACTGTATGGTGCTTTAATTTCATGAGGAAAAATTTCTACAAGTCAGTGAAAATCCAGAAAATTTAAATCATTTCATGGGAGCCTGGGTCCTAAAAACAGGGAGTCTAATTTTGTCTACACGAATACCATAAAATTATCAAATCCTGAAAATTCCAAGTAACATATTTTAAATGATTTACATTACAAGTTTCATCATGTTTCATCAATGTTTGCAGCTAGATATGATTTGTAATTTGATTGTTTGAGTGAAATAGAAATTTTACTGAAGGGGTATTTACAGAATAGAAATTTCTCTGGTGATTTATCCACTGCTACCATATTCCATGGTTTTCCCTGTAACTTGTATTTTGTTGGTGAACTTACAGTAGTACTTTTTTTCTAAGTTCATTTGTCACAAACTAAAAAATTGAAAATTAAAATTCACAGGACCACTTTGAAGACCTTGTCAAGTTTATGTCCAGTGGACCAGTACACACATTGGTGCTAACCAAAGGTGATACAGGAGAGGATATCATTCCAGAAGTCAGGACGTTAATCGGTCCTGCAGACGTTGAACTAGCAAAGGAAGAAGCCCCGGGAAGGTAGGAGTTTATTCTCTTGTTGATGGCAAAATGTACATTGATTGATTCTGATGTTGTTTAAGAGCTTTCATGTAGGCATTGAGCTATCATTTGTTTCCATTCTAACCTAACATCATGCATATGTCATGTAAAAATACTGTGACAACGCTTCTCTTGGTAAAACTATGAGGTCGTCGCATCGCATCATGTTCAATGTAAGTTCCATACAATTTCTGCAACGCATGTGAAATACATTGTTTGTTTACATGAAATTTAAAATTTGTACAACTGTGACGCTCTAACTGATACACATACATGCATAACAGCAAGGCAGCTAACTATTTTGTACTTTGATGCCAACAACTACTTCTTGCTGATCATTCAATTTGCTCAAGCCAACCTACAACCCTAACCTACATGTATATCCTGTAGAGGCTCACATGGAGATGATAAGAGGAAAAAATATATATATATATTTGTTCTCTGAAATGAAACACAATGCACGTGTTTTAGTCACAGTAATGTAACTCCAATATATTGAATAATTGTTCTTTTTTTTATTTGCTTCAGTATAAGAGCAGTTTATGGTACAGACAAAATTACAAATGCGGTTCACGCAGCTGACTCAGAAGATGCAGCTGCAATGTATGTCAAATTATACACGATTTTATTTTCCTTATCTTCTCCACAAGTTATGCAATTTTTCATTTGAATTATTATTTGTCAACTTAGAACACAAAAAAAATTAAAAGTGTTTTCAAAACAATTACTACAAACTCGATGAACTTGAATTGAATGCAATAGTTATGGGGTGTACTGTTCAAAATTTCTGAATGTTGCCAAGTCTGGGTGTGTGATGTTGTTCTAAGGTTTTTGAGTTACTGTAGAATACTTTATTTTAGCTGTAATTTTCGCAAAAAAGACATTTTGGGTGTTTTGTATGGAATTTATTTAAATGTAAAATATAGGGAAAAAGGTATATTCGCTGAATTTTATTTTCACTGGATCATTACTTTAGCGAAAATTAATTCCAAGCGAAAATAAAGTATTTTACAGTACCTCAAAATCTACTTTATCTTTTGGGGGGAGACTCAACAATATGTATCATCTTAGGGAAACAGACATGATATGCATGAGTCAATATACAAAATCCTGCAAGTCAATTTTTGGGGTTGGTAGAAAATAACATGATCAACATATTTATTACTGAAATCAGGGCTTAAACTTTGGGAATTCGGTTTCTATGTCCAAACTAAACTTGCCTGGGTAGAAAATAACATGATCAACATATTTATTACTGAAATCAGGGCTTAAACTTTGGGAATTCGGTTTCTATGTCCAAACTAAACTTGCCTGGGTAGAAAATAACATGATCAACATATTTATTACTGAAATCAGGGCTTAAACTTTGGGAATTTGGTTTCTATGTCCAAACTAAACTTGCCTGGGACTGATTGACTATTTTGAAAATCAAGGCATTCAGGTAGGGTCTCTGGACAATTGATTTTATGGCTGCTGTAAATTTTAACTCTAATGAAATCTAGTGCCATTTATTTATTTACCAAAAAATTTCTACCTTTCTGCAATATATGCAGAGAGCAATTATGATGGACTGTGATGTAAGATGTACTGCCAAGTACATGTGCTGACATTTGGAAAAAAAGAAATAACATTATTCTGGGTTATTGGATTGCAGGGAATTGGCATTCTTTTTCCCAAAATTTGCGGCACCAATTGTGCCTGGCACAGGAGCACCTCCACAGAAAGAAAGGACGTTAGCTATTATCAGACCAGATGCACTTCGCGAAAATAAAGGTAAGATACAACCTGAACCTTGTACCCTAATATTGCATAGTCGGTTTGCTAAAATATGTTTAAAAGATAGTGTACAACTACAAATCAC